CATGCCCCCCCCCGCCCAGCTAATTTTTTGATTTATCGTAGAGATGAGGTCTCGCTGCCCAGGTGAGTCTCGAACCCACGGGCTCAGGCAATCCACTCACCTCAGCCTCCCAAAGGCTCAGGATTATAGGCTGAGCCACCATTTTTTAATCCAGTCCTCTTTTGATGGGCAGCATGGTTGGTTCCATGTTCTTGCTATTGTGAACAATGATGTGATAAACATACATGTACAGGTATCTTTTTTATAGAGTGATTTGAGTTCTTCTGCATACACAGCTTTTCATTAGGGAAATTTAGAACACAGGTTGACACCAAATAGTTCCTCATCCAGGGTCAAAGACATTTCAAGGTAAAATTATGTAAACAGTGAAGTAATCACCCTCCAAAATGTTGTTGCTGTCATCTCCTTTTGTATTCTTTTTGTGAGTTTATGCCCTTTTAAAATTTTTGTCTTTTTAACAGGATTTAATGGGGATACAGATATAAATATTTATGCTTAGTCTTCCATTGGCACTGTAAAACTACATAACTTACTTGAAACTTTGTTGTTAGGAAGCCAACAACAAAGTTACTGATCTATGTAACCAGTTGGGGATACTCATTATTTACACAGGTTATTTCTTCATTTATGCTTTGATCCCTCCCTTTCTCTTGGGACATTGGCCTGTGTCTGCTATCTGATTTACCAAAACAAAGAAACTTTTCTCTCTATGATAAATGATGTTTTTCTTTCTTTGCTTTGTTTTGTTACATGTAAGAGTCTCTTCCTCCTCCTTTCTTATCTTTTCTTCTCTCTGTGTTAAGAATCTTGTTTGCTGTGTGGGGAGACAGTATAAAATAGCTCTCCTATTTCTCCTGATATACTCTGTTAGGGAGAAATTACACAGATTCCACCTTCTCTGGCATATTTGGCTCTGTAAAAATATATGACAATATCTACCAAGGTGACCTGGAATGAGATGTGGGAGCTGAATTTTGAGGGGTGGGGATGAGCACAGAGATCACACCACAGGTTACTTCATTTTACCTTGAAATTCCTTTGAGTCTAGATGAGGAACTATTTGGTGTCAGCCTGTTTTCAATTTCCCTAGTAAAAAACTGGGTATGGGAATGTTCACTTCTGTTCTTCTGCTCTGACTATTTGCATGAATGTTGCATCACCCAGAGACTGTGCAGAAACCATGCAGCTCAGAGTTTGTGCTCAGCTCCCCCTGCAGTTTTTGTCACTGTGTCACCCAGAACACAGTAGTACAGAGCTGAATCTGACTCTTGGACTGAGGCTTTCTCCAAGTGGAAGGAGGTGGTTTCCTTTTTGTATGTGGCTTCAAAGCCTTTGTTGCTTCCCTTTTCGTTGGCCTTTGCAGCTTTCAGAAGGAGCTGTGGACCTTCTCCAGGATATTGGACATACCAGAAAAGAGTTGGGTACGTTGTGGATGTGTAAGTGCAGTTTATAGTGAGGAAAGTCCCTTCTGAGAGGACCACTTGGCCTTCCATCTGAGTCACTGAGTCTCCACGGATTTTTCCTAGAGGGCAGAAAAAGAGATCTCTTTGACCTTAGGCATACAGTTCTATATAAACTGTGGTTAATAATTTTGCTGACACACAAAAAGGAAGAGTGCAAATTTTAAGAGGCATTTTACTTACCAAGCAGTAAGAGTGTTACAGTCACTAAGCCTGGAGAAAAGTTCATCTTTAGATTGTCACCAAAATATGTTCTCACTTCTTAACATGAAGAAATGTGAGGGTGAAATGCAACTCTCACAGGAAATGAATTTGTGTAAGGAAGCCACTCCCCCTGGTGGACAGGGACTGAACTGGAATGGATTTCCTTATTTTTAGCTCTTTCCAAAAGTCCCAAATATGTCCTTAATCCTGACCTCATTTTTTAAATTTATTTTTTTTATTTTTCTTTATTTTAAAGATGTGGGGTACTATTCAGGGTTAGGTATGCAAATGTTCGTTATGCAGGTACCCTTATTGATGAGGTGAGCCCCTCCCTCCCCTGGCAGTTTCCTTCAACTGACAACCCCAACCCTCTCCCCTGGCAGTTTCCTACTACTGCCAACTCCTTTCCTACAGCATTATAATTGTTCAAAGTCCACTTATGAGTGAGAACATATGGTACTCTGTTCTTTGTTTCTGGGATAGATCACTGAGTATGATAGACTCTGAATCCATCCAAGTTGCTGCGAAGTCCATAGGTTTGAATCTTGATCTCATTTATAAGGCACATGCCAGTCTCAGGTGGACCTTGAAAATCTGAAGGACAACTGCATACTCTCTATAGTCTATTTTCTTCTTGGGACACAGCCTGACATGGAATTTCCTTAGCAGAACATCCCAGGGTATTTCTGAAACTGAGAAGACACACATTTTCTTACATTTTATTACAGACTTTTATATTTTCATGTATCCTTTGTGAGACAGCTTATAATCCATTGGAATGTCAGGCAAGGGTTTTGGTTCAATCAGAGGAAGTAATAAGAAATCACATCTTTTAGCTACATGCAGAAAAAAATAAATTTGCTCCCTACTCTTCCCATATACAAAAATTAAGATAAATTAAAGACTTAAATGTCAGACAAGAAGCCACAAAAATCCTAGAAGAAAACATAGGAAAAACTCTTCTGGATATCAACTTAGGCAAAAAAAAATTATGGCTAAAACCCCCAAAACAAAAATAAACAAGAGGGACTTAATTAAACTAAAAACCTTCTGCATAACAAAAGAGAAAATCAACAGAGCAAATAGACAACCTACAGAATGAAAGAGGTATTCACAAACTATACATTTGACAAATATTATCCAGACTCAGCAAAGAACTCAAACAAATCAGCAAGATAAAAAGCAAATAATTCATTAAAAAATGGGATAACGGCATGTCTATCTGTCAAAAGAAGATACACAAACAGCCAGCAAACTCATGAAAAAATGCTCAAAAATCACTCATCATCAGAGAAGTGCAAATTAAAACCACAAGAAGATATTACCTCACACCAGTCAGAATGGCCATTAATAAAAAATAAAAGAGCAATAGATGCTGGTACAGATGTGGAGGAAAGGAAATGCTTATACACTGTTGGTGGGAGTGTAAATTAGTACAGTCTCTATGGAAAGTGGTGTGGAAATTCCTCAAACAAGTATAGTAGATCTACCATTACATGCAGCAATCTCACTACTAGGTATCTACCCAAAGAAACAGTGGTCGTTGTATGAAAAAGACACCTGCACTGGCATGTTCATCACAGCCCAATTCACATTACAAAGATGTAGAATCAACCTAAATGTCCATCAGCCAATCAGTGGATAATGAAAATGTGGTATATATACACTATGAAATACTATTCAACTATCAAAAAGAATAAAATAATGTATTTTGCAGCAACTTGGATGGAATTGGAGACTGTCATTCTAAGGGAACTAACTCAGGAACAGAAAACCAAACACCACACGTTCTCATTTATAAGTGGGAGCTAAACTAAAGATCTGCAAAGACATAGAGAATGGTGTCATGGACACTGGAGACTCCAAAGGAGGAGAGGAAAGCGATAGAGGGTCCAAAAATCACTTGTTGAGTACAGTGTGCACAGTTGAGGGTGGTGTGTGCACTTAAAGCCCAGACCAAAACTGTTTGTATCACTCAAAGCTATTAAAATGTGAAAAAAAGAAAGAACTTATCAAATGGGGTTAAAAAAAAAAAAAGAACCTTGGCTTCCTCACCCCTCCCCCATCTTAACTAAAGCATTTCATTTTACCGATTTCAAACTATTTTTAACTCTTTCTGTCAATTGCCAATCAGAAACTCTTTGAATCCACCTGTGACCTATAACCAACCCCCCCCCCTCCCCTGCCTTCCCAAATTGGAGATGCTCCACCTTATTGGGCCCAACCAATATAAACTTCAGATTGTATTAATTTATGTTTTGTCTGTAACTTCTGTCTCATTAAAAATGTATAAAGCCAAGCTGTAATTCAACCAATCTGAACACATGTTCTCAGGTCCTCCTGGGACTGTGCCACCAACCTAGGTCATTCACATTTGGTTCAGGATAAATCTCTTCAAAAATATTTTTTTAAAAAAGAAATCACATCAGTATTGAGTGATTCCATATTTTTCAGCACTGCATCCCAACATGTAGAGCAGTGAATGACAATTACTATGTGTCCAATAAATATGTTAAATGAAACAAAAATAATGAATAAACAGCCTTTGTTGTATAATCACTACTACTTGAAACATAGTATTTCCTAAGTTCTAAAATAATATCAATTGTAAGGTATGCTATCTTTTTAATAAGACCTTTTCAAGGGAAAAAGTCACACTATCTTTTCAATCACCAAATATTTCTGAATTTCAGAATCATTAAAAAGCGAAAAATATGAATCCTAAATAGAAGAAACACCATGAAGTTACTGAATACCTGGAGAATGATCTGAGATCAATATTTTATTCCTCTATGATATCAATGATTCCAAAATAAGGGGACTAGCCTATGCCAATCGGGCAACGAGTATTAAGGCTGTACTCCAACAGAGATCTAGCCTTGAGGATGCTTTCTACTGTGGCCCACCTGCCAACATTTTGTTGCCAAACTTTAACCTGATAATTTCCCCCCATTATGTAGGGAACTCAGATGTGGATTTGCATCAAAAGATTGGATCATTCGTTAGTAACTCTCTTCTTCCTTGCCTGAGTAGTAGCAGAAGTTCTCAAGACTGGCTTTTTGAGAACAAAGTTAATATGGGAGTGATTTAAAACTTCAGATACTGGGATTTCATCAGTCACTTTAAAAACCACTGTTTCAGGATTGAAAGCAAAAAAGATGTATTTTTTCTTTAATTTATTGTAAAGATGTGGGGTACAAGTCAAGTTTAGGTGCGTAAGTGCTCTATATGCAGGTGATGTTTGGGCCTGCCAGTGGTCCTCACTTCCCCTGGTTTAGGATCAGGTACCCTTAGTGTTGTTATGTGTTCCACCCCCTGCATCCCAAGCAGTGTCCTGCGACTACTGATCCCTCTCTTGTAGTATTGTGATAAATGTTCAGGATCCACATATGAGTGAAAACATGTGGTATAATTTTTTTTTCTGTGATAGAACCTATCTAAGTTCCTGAAGAAGTTCATAATTTTGTCCTTTATGACTGCATATACTCCATCGTGTATATGTACCACAATTTTTTTTATCTAGTCCACGTTTGATGGGTAGCAGGTTTGGTTCCATATTTTTGCTACTGTGAATAGTGCTACAATAAACATGCATGTACAGGTATCTTTTTTTGTAGAATGATTTGAGTTCCTCTGGATATATTCCTGGAAGGGGGATTGCTGGATGGTATGGAAGATCAATTTCTAGTTCTTTTAGGAATCGCCACACTGTTTTCCATAGAGGTTGAATTAGTTTATACTCCCACCAACAATGTAGAAGCATTCCCTTTTCTCCACATCCTCGCCAGCATCTGTGGTTTTTTGATTTATTAATGATGGCCATTTTTATTGGAATTAGGTGGTATCGCAGTGTGGTTTTGATTTGCACTTCTCTGATGACTAGTGAGACTGTGAGACTGAGTATTTTTCTTTTTTTTTTTGAGACTGAGTATTTTTCATGTATCTGTTGGCTGTTCACATGTCTTCTTTTGAGAAGTGTCTATTCATGTCTTTTGTTCACTTTCTAATAGGGTTTTTTTTTCTCCTTTTCAATTAGTTTAAGTTCCTTGTAGATCCTGGATGTTAGACCTTTGTCAGATATACAGTTAGCAAAAATCTTTTCCTATTCTGTGGTTTGTCTTCCTGTTCTCTTGATAGTTTCTTTTGCTTTGCAAAAGCTTTTCAGTTAGATAAGATTCCATTGTCTATCTTATCTTTTATGGCATTCGCTTTTGGGGTTATGATTGAGAATCAACTGCCTATTCCAGTGTGCAGAAGGGTATCTCCTGCATTTTCTTCTAAAATTCTTATAGTCTTGAGGCATTATGTTTAGATATTTTAGAGTTGATTTTTTTGTGTGGTGGTAAGTAGGGGTCCTGTTTCATTCTGCATGCGGCCAGCCAGTTTTCTCAGCACTATTTGCTGAATAGGGTCTCCTATCCCCAGTGGTTGTTGTTGATGGCTTTGTTAAAGATGAGTTGATTGAGAAATTGAGGTTTTGCTTCCAGAATCTATCTTCACCTTGTTCCACTGGTCTATGTGCCTGTTCTTGTACCAATACCAGACTGTTTTGATAATTGTAGCTTTATAATAAAGTATAAAGTCTGGAAGTGTGATATCTCTTGCTTTGCTTCTTTTGTTGAGAGTTGTTTTGACTATTCATGCTCTTTTTGGTTTCCATATGAATTTCTGTATTGCCGTTTCCAGGTCTGAAAAGTATTGCATTGAATGTGTGGATTTCCTTGGGTAGGATGGACATTTTAACAATATTGATTCTTGCAATCAATAAGCATGGAATATTTTTCTGTTTGTTTGTGTCATCTTTGATTTCTTTGAGCAGAGTTTTGTAATTTCCATTGTAGAGATCTTTCACTTCTCTGGTTAGGAAGATGCCAAGGTATTTCATTTTTTTGTGACTATTGTGAATGAGATAGTTGTATTTTTTAGAAAACAAGCACATGCCTGTAATTCCGACTACTCGGAAGGCTGAGGCAGAAGGATCGCTGGAACCCAGCAGGTGAGGCTGCGGTGGCCGGGAGCGGCCACTGCACTCCAGTCCGG